AGGAATTTGGATATCCATATGCAGAAGAATGCCTCTCACCATACACAAAAAATCAACTCAAAATGGATTAAAGACTTAAATGTAAAGCCCAAAACTATGAAACTACTAGAAGAAAACATAGGAAAAATGCTTTACAACATTGCACTGGGCAAGGATTTTTTAAATAAGATCTCAAAGCACAGGCAACAAAAGCAAAAATAGACAAATGGGATTACACCAGTCTGAAAAGCTTTTGCACAGGAAAGAAAATAATTAACAAGAGTGAAGAGACAATGACAACCTACGGAATGGGACAAAATATTTGCAAACTATACATCTGACAAGGGCTTAATATCCAGAACATATAAAGAACTTAAATAACTCAACAGCAAAAACAAATATCCCAAATAAAATATTGGCGAAAAAACTTTAAACATTTCTCAAAAGACATACAAATGACCGGCAGCTATATGATAAAAACCTCAATATCACTAATCATTAGGAAAATGCAAATCAAAACCACAATGAAATACCACCTCACTCCAATTAAAATGGCTATTATTAAAAACGCAAAAGATAACAAGTGTTGGGGAGAATGTGGAGAAAAGGGAATCCTTACACATGTTTGATAGGATTGTAATGTAATACAGCCATTATGGAAAACAGATGGAGGTTCTTCAAAAAATCAAAAATGGAACTAGCATATGATCCAGCAATCCCATTGCTAGTATATATCCAAAAGAAATGGAATCAATATATTGAAGAGATATCTGCATGCCTATGTTTACTGCAGCACTATTTACAATAGCCAAGATATGGAATCAATTCAAGTGTGCAACAATGAATGGATAAAGAAAATGTGGTGTATATACACAATGGAATATTTCTCAGCCATAAAAATGAATGAAACCCTATCATTTGCTACAACATGGATAGACCTGGAGGACATCAGGTTAAGTGAAATAAGCCAGACAGAAAGATAAATACCATACTATCTCACTCATGTAGAATCTTAAAAAAGAAAAAAAAGAGGTGGTGTCATAGAAGCAAAGAGTAGAACAGTGGTTATCAGAGACTGGAGAGAGGAGGCAGAAGGGAAGGACTGGGAGAGGTTGGTCAAAGGATACAAAGTTACAATAAGATAGAAGGAATAAGTTCTGGTGTTCTTGGCACAGTAGGGGTGAGGATGGTTAACAGTAAGGTATAGTTTATTATAATACAAAATAGCTAGAAGTTTCAGAATATTCTCACCTCAAAGAAATGATAAATCCAAGAGGCGATGGCTACATTAAATACCCCAATTTAATCATTATACAACATATATATCAAAACATAAAATTGTACCCCATAAATATGTACAATTACAATGCGTCAATAAAAATAAATAACAGAAAAAAGTCACTGGCTTACTGGTTTATTGTTAGGCAATTAATGAAAGGTCTGGGATGACAGGTAATACAAAGCAGTTTCAGCTTCATTCGTAAAGAAGATAGGCAGGTAAATCAGAGGTGTGGCTTTTACTTATGAAATTCATGTTTACTTTAAAGAAAACATAAATTATATCACATCAAAATGTATGAATAATAATGTATTTCAAATTTCCCACAGACATGTCAGCTTTCCT